GATTATTGTTTTAGAATTTTTGTTTCAAAAAATATTTGTTTGATTTTTTAATTGTTAGTGGGGTCAAATCGATGTTCATTTTCCTTTCAAAGGGAGGAGCATTTTGGATAGGACGTATAAATCTGGTAAAGATGGTGATAATGCCAAAAATTCTGTATAAGTTCCACATGCTTCCAGTTCACCACCCAGGAGTCTTTTTTTGGGATAATAAATAAGATGATGACTAAATTTATATGGGCAAATAAGAAACCGAGAATCAGTTATGAGGTCCTGAGCAGGGGTGGACTGACCATTTGGAAACTCTGGCACTGCCCGAGGGTCCGGGGTCAGTAGGGGGCCCCATGAGATGTCCCTGGTACCTTTTTCATAGGCTTTTTTGAGTTTGGGCAAGGACGCAGGGGCACCATGATCCCCTATTGCCCGGGGGATCCATGAGTTGTCAGTCCGCCCCCCTCGTCCTGAGTAGAGAAAAAGGGAATGGGGGTTTGGGCTTACCCAATGTAAGGATTACTATCTAGCAGTGATTTTATCACAAAGAGTAGATTGGACATTTAACTCACAAGGGAAAGGATGGGTGAAGATGGAAGGGATTTTAACCCTTTGGTGCCAACCCCTCCCGACCCTTTAAGGGTTTCAGAAGCCAGTAGGCGGGGCGGGGTTTAGGGTCATGTCACCGCCGTGACACGCCGTCATGATCGTCACATGATCGGGAAAGGTCCCGATCGAAAGAGGAGATCGGGACCTTTCCGTGTGTACCGGACATGTGTGCTGGGAGCGTGCAGGGCGTGCGCTCTCAGCACATATTTTTTTTTAACAAAATGCAAATGTGCGGCCGCTCGACGTCTAGGCCCAAATGCAGGGAGGCTGCATATTTGCGTTCGGCCGGCGTGAAGAGGTTAAGTAAGGCACAGTTAGAGAAGATTGTATGGATCCACATAAGTATCGCACATTGGACGTTAACATTAGTTCACTGACATAGAAAGTCTTGAGTATATGGGATATTATTATACAGTATTTATAAAGCGCCGATAGATCGCTCAGCGCTGTACATTACAAAGGGGGACAGAACATGTGACAGAACAATACCAATACAATGCAAAACATGAGGGGATCGAGGGCCCTGCTCTTTCGAGCTTACAATCTAGGAGGGAGGGGATGGTGGCACAGGAGGAGAAAGCTGTGGGGGATGGAGTAGTAGGAAGAGTGGAGGAGGTCGGCAATTAGCAGGGGGTGGGGTAGGCTTCCCTGAAGAGGTGGGTTTTCAGGGTGTGCCTAAAGGAGAGGAGAGAGTAGGTGTGATAATCTGATGGGTTGGGCTAGGGAGTTCCAGAGGATGGGTGACACCCTAGAGAAGTCCTGGAGGTGGGCATGGGAGGAGGAGACCAGGGAACTAGAGAGAAGGAGGTCTTGTGAGGAGCGGAGTGTGCGTGTTGGGTGGTACTTGGATATTAGGTCGGTGATGTAGTTCGGGGCAGTATGGTGGACGGCTTTGTACATCAGTGTTAGGATTTTGAATTTGATCCGTTGCGCAATCGGAAGCCAGTGGAGGGATTGGCAGAGGGGGGGGTGGCGGAGATAGAGCGGTTGGAAAGGTGAATGAGTCTGGCAGCCGTATTCAGGATGGACTGAAGCGGGGATAGCCAGCGGCGAGGCAGGCCAGTGAGGAGGGAGTTGCAGTAGTCGAGTCGTGATATGATGAGGGAGTGGATGAGCTGTTTAGTGGTTTCTGGGGTTAGGAACGTGCGGATTTTGGCGATGTTGCGGAGGTGGAGTCTGCATGAGTTTGTTAAAGAGTGGACTTGGGGCTGGAAGGATAGGTTGGAGTCCAGAATGACACCAAGTACTCTGGCCTGCGGGGCGGGTTTGATGGTGGCGTTGTTGGATGTGATGGAGAAGTCAATGGGGGGTGGGGTCCGGGCTGGGGGGAAGACAAGAAACTCGGTTTTGGAGAGGTTCAGTTTAAGAAAGTGGAGTGACATCCAGTCTGATATGTTGCTCAGTAGGTGTGTGATTCGGGCGGAGACAGAGGGGGTGAGGTGGGGGGTTAAGAGACAGATTTGTGTGGTGGTAGCACTATAGGTAACACTGAAAGAGCGATAGAATGTATGGTCAAAAAGGATGGAAATATAATTCAAGATTGACTCCTTTGGTGGGAACGGAGTATTTCCTCCCGGGGAAGGAAAATATTTTTGGGAAACGGATAAAGGATAAGAATGCACGCTTGAAGGATAAATTGAATGAAGGGAAACTGCCCACTTTTCAAAATGTAACCCCTTCATGCCTAAGGGTAAAACAAATCTTAATGCCTAAGCACAATTTTGCAACATGTGTTAGTAAAACCGTACATGTCATCACAACTACTTTGTACATCGGGGTGGATTATACCGAATTTTTTTCAGGACAAATTGGGCTTTCATTTGGTGGTAAATGGTAATGGATAGCTCCTGATTATTTTTTTATTGTCAAAGGAAAACTGTCCCAAAATAGTAAAAAAAAAAAAAAATCATGTTTAATGTAGCTTTGTGTTTCTTGTTACTACCATAACCTACCACCAAACAACAACCCAAAATAAATTTTCCAGCTCTTGACGATCGCATCAATACCATATATGTGTATGTTATTTGTTGTTTGTACCTGTAGTACAGCCCAGAAACAATAGTGCGCATTTTGTTTTTTGTTTTTTTTACCTAAAACACAGACACTGACACTGATAACATTTTTTTAAATCCTAACCTTTGACCCTGACCTTTTGACCTTTGACCCTGACCTTGACCCAAACACTAATGCAGGCTATAGACAGGTCGAAAACCGGCCGTTTTTTTTGTTAAAAAAAAAAAAAAAAAAACGGTCGTTCGATCGGTTATCTTTATCACCAACGGTAAAAAAAATCGGCAGATTTTCGTCCCGTCTGCGGCCGGCAATATAATAGCGGAGTAATTACTTCTGCCCCTTGCAGAGAGCCGCGCTATTATATTTGACATGAAAAAGTATTGCAGTTGCAACATTGTATCTATATGTATCAATTTCGGATACCGATGGTTTTTTTTCGGATACAAATAGATACAATGTTGCAACCGCAAGACTTTTTCATGTCAAATATAATAGCAGACTGGAATTTTTTTTTCTTCTTTTTCTTCTTCTTCCTCTTCTTTTTCTTCTTTTCTTCTTTTTCTCCTTCTTCTTCTTCCTCTTCTTTTTCTTCTTCTTTTCTTCTTCTTCTTGCTCTTCTTTTTTTCTTCTTTTTTCTTCCTCTTTTCTTCTTCTTTTTCTTCTTCTTTTTCTACTTCATCTTCTTCTTTTTCTCTTCTTCCTCTTCTTTTTCTTCTTTTTCTCTTCTTTTTCTTCTTCTTCCTCTTCTTTTTCTTCTTCTTTTTCTTCTTCTTCCTCTTCTTCTTCTTCTTCTTCTTTTTCTTCTGCTTCTTTTTCTTCTCCTTCTTTCTCTTTTTTTCTTCTTCTTGCAGGTTACAGCTCATGCGCAGATTTTTTTTAAAAAGATTGGCCGATTTGCCCATCATTGCCGGGAAAAAATCGGCCGATTTTTTTCCAACTTTATCATTAAAAAAAATGTGCCAAAATTCTGAAAAACGGCCGACCTATTTACCCACTAATGATCCGAAAATCAGCCGATTTTTGACCCATCTATGGCCTGCATAACCCTGGCACTGAACTAGATCAAACCTTGATCTAGGTATTTTTTCTTTTTTTTTTCCTTTTATTTCTTAATATTTATTCTTTTTTTTTTTTTAACAAACATTTTTGTCCCCGTCTATGTCAGTAGTTATACAATGTATCTCTCTCCTGGATTCATACAGAGAGAAAAAAACAAGGGGGCCGTGCTGATCACTGTGATAGCCAATCAGAGGCTATCACAGCAATCATGTGACCCGGAATTGGGCGTCCCGGGTCCCAATTGTTAGAACGGGACCCGGGGCTCTCAGTGACACCCCGATTTTAAAATTTTTTTTACTGGACATGTTTTATAGCTAAAAGCCCAAAAATATTTTTTTTTCAACATTGTCGGTCTTTTTTTGTTTATAGCGCAAAAAATAAATAAACGCAGAGGTGATCAAATACCAAAGAAAGCTCAATTCGTGGGGAAAAAAGGCCGTAAATTTCATTTGGGTGCAGCGTTACACGACCGCGCAATTGTCAGTTAAAGTAACGCAGCGCCGTAACGCAAAAAAAAAATGGCTGGGTCAGGAGGGGGGGGGGGAATCCTCTGGAGGGCGAGGGGGTAAAGCATTCACTGACAACATGTAGGGGCCCAGATGCTCCTAGACAGGGGCAGACTGACAACCCATGGGGCCCCTGGGCAATAGGGGATCATGGGGCCCCTGTGTCCTTGCCCAAACTCAAAAAAGCCTATGAAAAAGGTACCAGGGGCATCTCATGGGGCCCCCTACTGACCCCGGGCCCTCGGGCAGTCCGCCCCTGCTCCTAGATACGAGGGATGTGTGGCAGAGTCCATATTATGTTTATTATCCTCACAAATGTACATTATTCAACCCTGAGGGCCACAAATACAGGTCACATGACCCATTCCAACACTGTGCCGCTCAACCCCCTCATCTATCAGAGGTTACTAGGTGACAGCAGGCCCTTCCCTCCTGGGACAGGAGGCCACTCCCCCGATCGTCTATTACTGGTTATTAGGTGACAGAGAGCCACGCCCGCCGGCTTCTCTCAGCGAGTGTATTTTGCTATTTTGACAGAAGGCCACTCCCCCTGGCCGCCGAATGTTGATTGTACTGTGCTAGGAGGCCACTCCCCATGCCGTCTATCATTGGTTACCAGGCGATACCCCGCCCCCTCCCTCCTAGGGCTGTCAGGGGATGCGGGCGGGGCCGTCGTTGCGCTCGGCGTGGTGACGCAAAGACGTAGCGCTCGGGGTGAGGGGTCACGGCGGTGGACGCGGTGTGCGTCTTTCTCGTCCCGTTATATGAAAGATCGTTATCCGTCCGCCCGGGCTCTCTCCATGCGGGGGCAGAACGGGCGAGAGCATGACCCGGAGAGCAGCTAGCAGGAAGAGGAAGGCGGCGCCGGGAACCGGAGATCAGGTGACATACGGCGGGCAGGGCCTGTGAGGGCGGCTGAGGCCTTGTGTGTCTGTTGCCAGGGGTGACGATGTGGTGCCCTCTTTGTGGGAGGGGGTACTGCGGTGTATTGTGGAGAGGGATGGGGGGTGAGCCCAGTACCTGATGATGGGGCCAAGACATCTGCAATTGTTGGAGATGGCATAAAGATGGCTGTGATTTGATGGGGGGGGGGGGGGGGGGACGGCGCCTGTCATTGTCAGGGATGAGGGGGGATGGCATCTGCGGTTGTCAGGGGCAAGGGGGGACAGTATCTGCGGTTGTCAGGTGCGGAGGGTGGACAGCGGTTGTCGGGGGCGAGGGGGGGGGGGGCGGCGTCTGCGGTTGTCGGGGGCGAGGGGGGGGGCGGCGTCTGCGGTTGTCGGGGGCGAGGGGGGGGGGCGTCTGCGGTTGTCGGGGGCGAGGGGGGACGGCGGTTGTCGGGGCGAGGGGGGACGGCGGTTGTCGGGGGCGAGGGGGGACGGCGTCTGCGGTTGTCGGGGGCGAGGGGGGACGGCGTCTGCGGTTGTCGGGGGCGAGGGGGGGACGGCGTCTGCGGTTGTCGGGGGAGGGGGGACGGCGTCTGCGGTTGTCGGGGGCGAGGGGGGGACGGCGTCTGCGGTTGTCGGGGGCGAGGGGGGGACGGCGTCTGCGGTTGTCGGGGGCGAGGGGGGACGGCGTCTGCGGTTGTCGGGGGCGAGGGGGGACGGCGTCTGCGGTTGTCGGGGCGAGGGGGGACGGCGTCTGCGGTTGTCGGGGGCGAGGGGGGAACGGCGTCTGCGGTTGTCGGGGGCGAGGGGGGGGAACGGCGTCTGCGGTTGTCGGGGGCGAGGGGGCAGTTGACGGCGTCTGCGGGGGGCGAGGGGGGACGGCGGGGCGGTTGTCGGGGGCGATGGCATTTGCAGTTGATGGGGGTCGGGGGGGGAGGACACCAGGGGAGGGGGAGGACACCAGGGTACGGTCTGCGACTGTCGGGGGGGAGGATACGGTCTGCGACTGTCGGGGGGGGGGATGGGTTCGTTCTGCGACTGTCAGGGGGGAGGATGCGTCTGCGACTGTCGGGGGGAGGATGCGTTCTGCGACTGTCGGGGGGGATGCGTTCTGCGACTGTCGGGGGGAGGATGCGTTCTGCGACTGTCGGGGGGAGGATGCGTTCTGCGACTGTCGGGGGGAGGATGCGTTCTGCGACTGTCGGGGGGGGGAGGATGCGTTCTGCGACTGTCGGGGGGAGGATGCGTTCTGCGACTGTCGGGGGGAGGATGCGGTCTGCGACTGTCGGGGGGAGGATGCGGTCTGCGACTGTCGGGGGGCGAGGATACGGTCTGCGACTGTCGGGGGGGGGAGGATACGGTCTGCGCGACTGTCGGGGGGCGAGGATACGGTCTGCGACTGTCTGACTGTGGGTCTGCGGACTGGGGGGGGGGGGGGAGGACACCAGGACACGGTGGGCGACTGTCGGGGGGGGGGGGGGGGCGAGGACACGGTGGGCGACTGTCGGGGGTGAGGGAGGCCATCTGCAGTTGTTGGGAATAACAGCACCTGTGATTGTTGGGGATGTTGTCTGAGAACAAGGGGGCAGAGTTTGCTTTTGTTTGGGTTGAAGGGACGGAGTCTGCGATGATTGGGATAGTGGCATCTGTGATTGTTGGGATGAGGTGACTATGTCTGGGTTTGTTTTTTTTTGGGGACAGGGCCTGGGACTGTTGGGGGACAGCGCCTACTGCTGTTAGAGATGGAGTGGTGGTGTCTGATTGGAATACCAGTGCCTGCAGTTGTTGGGTGATGCGACAACTGTCTCTTTGGGGTCAACTCAGTTCAATAACGACTGAAAAACTGCAGTGCAATTCACTAAGAATTTTGCGGTAAATAACTCTTGAGGTAAAATATCTGTTTCACGGTAATTACTCCTTGTTTTCTTGCAGTAATTTATCGCACGGTAGCCGGTCATTCAGGAAACCAGACACAGGGTGTCCTTCATAACGGATGACTCATCAGCTGTCATCGGGTGTCCCAGTGACAGCAGAATGAAAACAAAACACATGCCAGCAATTACAAATGATGAAAAAAAACAGTGTGGGGTTCTCCCCCCCCCCCCCCCATCCATACCAGGCCCTTTGGGTCTGGTATGGATTTTAAGGAAAACCCCACACCAAAATAAAAAGGGAAAAAAAATGGCATGTGGTTCTCCTCACAATCCTAAGGGATTTTGGGTCTGGTATGGATCTGGGGGGGGGGGACCCCATGCCGTTTTAAAAACAATTTGGTGTGAGGTTCCCCTTAATATCCATACCAGTCCCCTAGGGGTTGGGGGGACCCCCTCGCTGCATCAGAAAGAAAAAAAAACACGTGATACCCTGGTAATAAATATTGCATCTTTTTTTTAACTTTCTATTATGTTTGTGTTTACTATTGTGTTTGTGAATTGGACTCAACAGCTTACCGTGTGTTTTTTTTTTTTTTTTGTGGTATTTACTGACACATTTTAAATTTTGCGTTTTAAATACTGCAGAATCGTTTTTTTTTTTTCTGGTGAATTGCACATTTTGTTACCGCGTGCGATCGTTTATGCAAACGAGTCACATGACCGTGTTATCACATGTGGTAACCTTTAGTGAATTGATCCCTTTGATTGTTCATACTGCAGTGTCTCTGCTTGTTGGGATGGCGGGGTGACTGTGTTGGGGGAATGGTGTTTGCGGTTGTTGGGGACAGGAAGGCTGCCCCTGTGGGTGTCATTTGTCTGTGTGCAGAATGTATTTCTCATGTTAGTGCAGCGAAGGTGTAAGAGATGAGACCTGATAGCTGTGATCATTGTCCTAGACCAGGGGTGGGCAAAGTGCGGCTCTCCAGCTGTTGCAGGACTACAAGTTCCATCATGCCTCTGCAAGTCATAGCTGTAACTGTCAGTTTTGTAATGTTGCAATGCCTCATGGGAAATGTAGTTCCACAACAGCTAGAGAGCCGCAGTTTGCCCATCCCTGTCCTAGCCTGTCGTAGAATGTGGTGGGGTCCTCGAACACCCTGTGTTGTCTGTCAGGTTTGGCTTCTCATTGGGTGGTCTTTCTTCTCTGTAAACAGAGTGCAGGGATTTGGGCACCATAGATTCTCCCCATTTCACACAATTTTAGCTTGACAGTCTTTTATTTTTCTATTTAGTGAAAAATTTAGAGTTCAGATTGTTTGTGTTCACTCAATATTTGTGCTCCTTTTCCAGGCTGACTGGGACCATGCCCCTCAGAAGCGGAGGAGGCTTCCTCTACAGAAGAAGTCTGTTGTGTATTATCTGAAAACCAGGGAACTGAAAGCTCAGGGTGACTGCAGCTACCACCGCTTGTTACGTGGCTGCGCTGCCCAGACCCTCCCCGGGATCCTCAAGGAGAGAGAGTTTAATCTTGGCACACTCAACAAAGTGTTCGCTTCACAATGGCTGAACCATCGGCAGGTTGTTTGTGGAACCAAATGCAATACAGTAAGTTTAGATCTTGTTGAACGCTGTATATACACCACTGGCTGTATTATTATACAATATTTATATAGTTCCAACAGTTTGCTCAGCGCTTTACAATATAAAGGGAGACAATACAGCAACAATACAGTTCAGTACAAGAGGGATAGGAGGGCCCTGATCCTTGTACACTGAAAGTGAAATCCTGCAGATCTTGAGATACCTTTTTTTTAGTTTACGCTATTTTATAGAATGAATAATTTTAAGCCTCGATATATTTCATTTTTTTTTTTTATTAATTTCCCTGGAGGTATTTTTCAGTACCAGAAGTGGTAACCCCAAGCTACACTCAGGAATACACTGCAGCGTTGCTCTGTGATCCCTGTATCACTTATCTTGTCCTGCGCTCCCGTGATGTCCCCCCTGCAGTGTCCCCGGCCATTTCCTCTGGCCAATGCCGGCATCTGTCTTCCGGGTTCCGTTCCCTCCGGCGTCGGGACGTACGGGGGACGGAACTGGCGGGAAATTTAAAAAATTTAAAAGTGACATTCACTAAATACACTAAAATCACATCGTATAACATTCCTGTATCAGACCATTTCACATACATTTTGTCCCGAGTGCTTTGTCCGGCGCCCTGCCTGCATTATTACTGTTCTTTCTGCCTGGAAACTGAGAAACGTCCATGGCGTCCAAAAAGCGTCCCTTTAGGTCAAAAGCGGTTTTAGACCGGCTAGAGAACAGCGATAGTAAATCAGAACCACTTGCAGAATTGAGTGATAATGATTCGTGGGGGAAATTCCTCATCAGACACTGAAAACGATTCTGCGACTGAGCTCAGCGATGGGCGAACTTGGAGCTATATTTCACATTTCAGTGTTTTTGGTTTGATTACATTATTGAATTAAATGTATTATTATTATATTATTTTTTTATGATTATTAGATTATAATTTATGATTTCGTGTTTCAAGTTTTATCATCCCCGGGATGTTTACTAGACTCTTGTTCAGACAGATTTCAGTGATTTATTCCTAAGAATTACAGGCCTACAATAAAAAAACAACATATTTCGACTGAAAACAATGTACCGCTTTGAGCACAGAAATACTGACATCATCAGACCGCTAGGGAGGTTAAAGTGTATTAAAGTTAAAACGTTTTAAGCAGGTTTATCTTCAGTCTTGCACAGTTGGATTGGCTCCTGTACTGAAATTGCTTTTTTTGATTTTAGTGCACCTTTGATCTTTTCACAGTGTGCATCAGAAGCTGCAGCAACTCATTTTAATGGCTAGAGAATGTCCAGTGTCATGAGAGGATGGCAAAATACAAAATTTGGAGTCGGGAAATCTTACAATGGGGACACTTGTTTCAGTTTTTTTAAAGCAGAACTCAAGAGTTGGTTGTGGCCAGCTCAGTGGATTGCTGTAGGAAAGTCCTGGATCCTTTCTTGGATACACAGAATATAACTGGATATAACATTTATAGGGAAAGTCGATCCAGGGAATATCTGATTGCCTCTCGGGGGATCAGGAAGGATTTTTTCCCCAGCAGAAACAAATTGGATCGTGCTTTGCTGGGTTTTTTTTTGCCTTCCTCTGGATCAGCTGTGGGTGTAGGATTATAACTTTTTTTTTTTTTTTTTAATGGTTGAACTGGATGGACTTTTGTCCTTTTTTTTTTCCAGCCAGACTAACTATGTAACTGAAGCCATTTTTTAACAGACTTCGAGCAGGCAGGGTATTATCGCAGAAGAGACATGCGGTGTCTCTTCTGCAATAAAATACTTCTACCTTCCTGCACACCCTCTTCAGTGGCACATGAACTGAGCTGTGCATGCGCAGTTTGGCTTACTTCACTGGGACAGTTCCTGTGCGCTGGAATGACCGACTCTTGTGCATGCATGTGCAAGGGTTTCGTCATCCCGTGCCGGCCAATGGATGTGCCTGAAGACCGTCACATGGGGAGAAGGCGCTGGCAAGGGACTTGGACCGTTATAGAGGAGTTGTGTAAACTGCCTTCAGTTCTGCTTTGAAGAAGAATTTCCTTTTAACTTCTTGTTGTGTCTCACAAACCAAAAGTGGAAGTTAATCTCCCCAATGGGGACACTGGACTATACCTCTTCAACAGGGCTCAAAAGTAATGTGTAGGCAGGGGTGTGGACATTTTTCTAAAAACTACTTGTCCAAGGGACTTAATCAGGGTTCCAATCTACTTGTCTTGATAAGGTGCTTTTAAAAATGTGTGGAGCTTACAAAATTGGCTTTGTGATGACTTAACCACTTCCAGTCCGGACACTTTTACCCCCTTCCTGACCAGGGCAATTTTCAGCTTTCACCGCTATCACACTTTGAATGACAATTTGCGCGGTCATGCAGCACTGTACCCATATGAATATTTTACCATTTTTTTGAGACAGATAAAGCTTTATTTTGGTGGTATTTATTCACTGCCTGGATTTTTATTTTTTTTGCTATGTAAATGAAAATGTCCAAAATTTTTGAAAAAAAGTGTTTCTCTTATAAAATTTTGCAAATAAATAATCTTTCATCATAAATCTTGGCCGAAATGTATTCCGTTATCTTTTTGGTAAAAAAAAAAAATAAGCCAAATTAGTTTATAACCAAAAATTATAATTTTAAAAATTTTTTTTACAGTTTTATTTTTTTATATTATGTTTTTTTTTTTTTTTTTTTTTTTTTTTTTAAATACTGTCACCCTAGCAGTACAGTGTCACCATGGTCACACTGTACTACTTGTGGGGGGTGATGAAGATTTTTTTTTTTTTATACAGTGATTGCTTTTATACCCATATAGGATGTAAAAGCAATCATTTCTCTTTCTCTCGGTCTGCATTCTTGCAGCCATTGAGAACTACTGAGTGAGCTGTGATTGGTCACAGCTTGTCACATGGCACAAGGCTATTGTGAATAGCCTTGTTCCATGTGACCTCTGTGATCATTCACAGATTTCACACGTAGTAAGCAATGATGTCACCAGTGACATCTTGCTTACTACTTTGCATGTGATTAGAGATGAGCGAATCGAACCAGGCGAACCGGAATTCGATACGAATTTCAGGAAAAATTCGATTCGCGTCGAATCCGAATATTTGCCTACTTCGGGTGCGCGAATCGGATTTTTCCCAATCAGCCGGCAAAAGTGTCCCTGCAGAGAGCTCCGCTATTTCTGACAGTTCTCTGACAGAAGGAACACATGTACAGCGGTTGAAACATTGTATCTATTAGTTTCCATTTAGGATACAGATGTTTCAACCGCTGTACATGTGAAGAAGCTGTCAGAGAACTGTCAGAAATAGAGGAACTCTGCACATACACTTTTTGCCGGTTTGGAATTCTTATTTTCATCCTACTTCTTCTTCTTCTACTTCTTCATCCTCATCCTCAGAAGAAGAAGAAGAGGATGAGGATGAAGAAGAAGAAGAAGTAGGATGAAAATAAGAATAATTCCAAGCCGGCAAAAAGTGTATGTGCAGAGTTCCTCTATTCTGCAGATACACTTAGAGGAGCTCTGCACATACACTTTTTGCCGGCTTGGAATTAATCTTATTTTCATCCTACTTCTTCTCTTCTTCTTCTTCATCCTCAGAAGAAGAAGAAGAAGAGGATGAGGATGATGAAGAAAAAGAAGAAGAAGAAGGATGAAAATAAGAATAATTCCAAGCCGGCAAAAAGTGTATCTGCAGAGCTCCTCTAAGTGTATCTGCAGAATGTCATTTATGGAAACAAATAGATACAATGTTTCAACCGCTGTATGGAGTGAATGTCCCAGAACTGTCAGAAATAGACAAACTGTCACAGAACTGTCCTTCTTCTCATCCTTCTCCTTCTTCTCATCCTTCTCCTTCTTCTCATCCTTCTCCTTCTTCTCATCCTTCTCCTTCTTCTCATCCTTCTCCTTCTTCTCATCCTTCTCCTTCTTCTCATCCTTCTCCTTCTTCTCATCCTTCTCCTTCTTCTCATCCTTCTCCTTCTTCTCATCCTTCTCCTTCTTCTCATCCTTCTCCTTCTTCTCATCCTTCTCCTTCTTCTCATCCTTCTCCTTCTTCTCATCCTTCTTCTCATCCTTCTCCTTCTTCTCATCCTTCTCCTTCTTCTCATCCTTCTTCTCATCCTTCTCCTTCTTCTCATCCTTCTTCTCATCCTTCTCCTCCTTCTCCTTCTTCTCATCCTTCTCCTCCTTCTCCTTCTTCTCATCCTTCTCCTTCTCCTCATCCTTCTCCTTCTTCTCATCCTTCTCCTTCTTCTCATCCTTCTCCTTCTTCTCATCCTTCTCCTTCTTCTCATCCTTCTCCTTCTTCTCATCCTTCTCCTTCTCCTTCTTCTCATCCTTCTCCTTCTCCTTCTTCTCATCCTTCTCCTTCTCCTTCTTCTCATCCTTCTCCTTCTTCTCATCCTTCTCCTTCCTCATCTCCAAGGGCATTTAAATTAAAGGTACAGTGTTCTGCACTAATTTAAAGGCTCTCTGAAGCCTAGAAACCCTTTTTATAAGTTAACTTCGTAGCGAATTAATTCGCATCGAATCGAATTTCTTCCTGGAATTCGCCGAATCAGCCGAATCGAATTTTTGAAAAATTCGCTCATCTCTACATGTGATCACTGATTGGCCAATCGGCGATCACATGATCGGGACCTCGTACAGAGGTCCCGTTCGACGATCCGAGTTCCACTGTGTCCAGAGGACACAGAAGGCACCGGATCGCTGTGCTGTGCGCTCCCAGGGAGCATGCCCAGCTAGAAATGACGGGTGCCGTTTATGAATGGCAACCTGCCCCTGGAGTGCCACCATCCTGACGTAAACAGCAGGCGGACGGCAAGAGGTTACATCTTTAATGTTTTTAACGTTGGGCTGTTTATCTCCTCCTCACCTCTCTGTTTGTCTCCAGCACCGCATTTGGAGACTAGCAGGGAGTGAGAGACCCTGCAGTGTGACGGGCACTGATTGGGTACTCGTCAAGAAAGGGGAGTGTCAGGCTCTCCTAACGTTCAGCAGAAGCCTTTTTTT